GGAGGGGGAGGGAGGGGCGAATTTGGGAATGCTTGAACGCTTCATTTGTTTAAAATATAGGGAAGTTCACATGCATACCCCGCTATTTTTATGTATTTATATATCTAATACTTTAATATTTAATTTTACATTTATAACAATAATAAATTTTTACATGAAATGTGCATTTCGCTCTAATAAAATACAAGATGGTGAATTTTTTCTTGTGATATTAAAGATTTGAGTGCCTTGTAAACATTAAAATTTGCCTGTTAGAAATTTAAATACATTAAAGTTGTGCGGTATGTATGTAAATATGGCAAAAAATATTTAATGTTAATATGTGGGATGAATTGTTGTGAAAAACTATGATTGCTAATTATCAAAATTATAAGCCTTTCTTCTTCTTTTTTTCTTTTTTCTAGTTAAAATCTCGAAGTTGATTACTGATGCTTTTGATGTGGTTATTGAGATTATGAATTCGATTTCGATTGCCGAACCTGAATGTGATAATGGTTGTTGAAATGAGCCAATTTATAAATTTGTTAGATTTTCTTAATCACATTCAAAATGAATTATTGCTCGCATTTAAACATCAGCTATCAAATTCATCATTTGATTTATAAATTTTTTTATGAAAAGTCGTGTTACAGTACTTTAAAATTTCTATATTAATGTCTCCTTCATACTGCCATGATCAAAGACAATGCAACTGCACAACCATTTTAATCCTCCTAATAGAAATGTTTACTTTATTTTTAAACCAAATTCTAAAACTATAATAAAAAAAACAAAATCATAAATCACTAAATAATAGTTTTAAATTTCAATAAAATTTTGAAGACATTAAGTTCTTCAGCCCCCACCTCTCCATCTATTATTAGCTTGAAATTAATCTCTTAGTTTTATATTAAATTTTTCTCTTTCTAATTTGTTCAGTCTCAAAGTCTTTTTGTTTATTTAACTTTATGATGCTCTTTGTACAGTAGTTTAAATGAAAATGGAGACCATTTCCCTAAATTATGGAGTTATGTGCATCACAAGTGCTAGCAGTAATCAGCAATATGCCATTGGACCTAAAATCTGCCCTCTGCAGATAAAGCTCATCCAACTGAAATAATTATAGTTTTCTATCAGCAGAAAGGCCGCCGTGTCCTGCTTAAATGGCCATTTGAACCCACTTCACGTCCACGTGCAAAAAACTCTAGCCCACTTCACGTCCAAGTGCAAAAAACTCTCTCCCTCCTCTCTCTCTCCCTCTCTCTAAATTTTCTTTTCTAAGAAAAAGTGTTTTTGAGAATACTGCTGCCCATTTATGTTATCCATTCATGTAGAGATCGAATCTGAGTGTCTACCAAATTGCCACCCAATAACGCATATGTATATATATAATTTATATATATATTTCTATATATATATATATATAT